TCAAGGTGGGGACAGAAAATTAAATGGATATAAGTGTGTCCAATGAAGTGTATGGAACGTAACTGAAAAACAACCACAGTATCAACCTTCTTCACTAAGTTCGTAGCGGAAAGATATGATAACTATACCACCTTCGCAGGGACTCATGGGTATTTCATTTATCGTGCATGCTAAATTGCTTTTATCAGTAGAATATCGTGCTATCGTGTGAGTGGGCGCGAGGCTTAGGTGGCAAAAGAACGTTTTCATGTTCAGTAAATGGCAGTAAAACAGCGGGATTTTAACTAGATTTGACTGGTTGGAAACAATACGCGCACACAGTGATATTCTCATATTCCTTCATATCTATGCCGAAGGGCGCGTGTGGCGTAGTGGTCGGAGGTGCTCTGCGACACACACGTGGGATCAGTCCCGCGCCTGTGGCTCACCAAGCCTTCCATCCGTCCGGGTTCAGCTAATTGGTACCGGACTTGTCTGGGAAGATAGCAGCACTGGCTCGATACATCGGTAGGCCACCGCGAGTCATTGTAAAGGCCAGATATGCATTCAATCACCCACAATGAAGCTTAATGAAGTCGAATGCATGGCGCATCTCTCAGGGATTGATCAACGCCGAGAGCTTTATCATTTTTTAGCTTTCTTCATGCAACAATTTTGCTTTGCAACGTGCAATATACCACCATTGAGATGAGACGGTGTAGAGCATTTTTCATATCCCGGTAGCATTGTTCATCTGTGATCAAAGGTTGGAGGTGTTGCAAATTTTATATTCTACTACGGACATGGCTTCAAACACAGATCGTTTCTTTATTATGTGCGACTTTTCTACTATATCCTACTGTGAGCCGTCGGGGTCCTCCGTCTTGTTATTGAGGACCACTTGTATTACTTGCGGTACTGTCCATCACCGAATTACTGGAACAAGAACTGGCAGTCTATAAGCGCTGTTTCTTTTAGAGCTTTTTTTTCTTTTTTTTTTAAGATAACTAGAGCTGTTCAATAAGTTCAACTCACTCAAGAGAGACAAAAAACTTCACAGTTTTTATGCGATGTACTGCTTTTAGTGACAGGGTGCTCATGAGTTGCTGGCTAGTTCGTGCTGATTATACTTGCTGATTGACTTTAGTTACGAACAGGTTCTCCCAGCGTGTATGTGGTCGTCCCAGAGGACGCTTGCGTTGTCGAGGAGTACAGTGACAGTTCTTTTTTTCCATTTGTCGTCCGTTCTTCTCATTGCGACCCACCCTTTTATGTTTCGCTATCGGTTTGTGTCCACCATGATCTTGAAGACTGGAGAGACTTCGAAGATCGAAGCGGTTATATTTCTGAGGACATTTTTCAAGCACTGTCTGGGTGGTGCGCAGTATTCTTGACACGGTTGAAGTATCAACCCACGTCCCCGCTGCATAACAGAGCGCTAGGAGGACTGAAAAAGTGAGCGCGGAGTGTTGGATCCATTAGTTCGTCGGTGGCTTCTTTGAGAGGCCCGAATGTTGCTCAGCTGGTTTTTTTCTTCCGTCTAATTCTTCCTTCATGTTGTCCTCCATCTTCCTGGTTATACCCACCGATATTTCGTCTTGCTTGATTCTACTGGAATGTACGTTTCATGGATTGAACCACGTTTCGTAACAAATGCATGCTTGCTTTCGGTCCTTGTTTAGATTTCTATCAGCCATCCGAAGACAGTGCCTAGGTTGATCATTACTCTGCTCAGGGCCACTTGCATCAAGATGACTCTTGTCCTTGAAATTGTCGTTTATACGCAATAGATTTGATGTAATTACATGGCAAAACCATCTTTACAGCATGTCCAATCCAATGCTTCCGAAGTAACTCATGTAGAGCACGCATCTCTGAGCGAATTCGCCGATGTGGTCACATGAGGTAGATAATCACTTGATAACCTGTCAACTCATATATTCCAGCGGGACATGACCTGCGAAGAACTATCTGTACACTTGATAAACTGCAAAAAAACTCCTTTTCAAATCATTTACCAGTAATCTGACTGGTAACCTACTATTGTTTCAGTTCCAATAGCTATGATGAATCATGGTTGTAAAATGCGAGGGTATAAAAGACACCGACGTAAACATTGCATACGTTTCAAAACCCTTCCAAATGCTGACGGCAATGATTTTATGTGAAGAGTCATAAAAACATATCCCAAGTAGTAGCACACATACCACATATATCTCTAGGGTAACATAGAAACGTCAACTGTTCTGAGGACTGAAGTATTCCAGTTGTCAAAATCGTAGGAAAACCAGCAAAATCGAAACGACATAAAGTAGGCGTGGTCTGACTTGTCCGCAACATAAGGCTAGACGTCAGCACCAATCAGCTAGGTTAATTGACATTCAGCATCAACTTCTATTTCAGAATAAGCCTGCTCCACCTTATGGTCTGTCAGTAGTGTAGTATAGGATAACGCATACGGGTTAGGAGCTGAGTGTGTTCACGTGACGACTTCACTAGCAAGTTCTGATGTCAATTACCTGAGTAGAACAGCTGTGTGCTATTTTGATGAAGAACGAAATCCACTACGTCTCCTCCAGTATGAGTTCTAGCTGACCTAGTTCTCTTGGCGTCATTATTGCGTCGAGCTTTGTGTAGAAGAAGACAGGACCCGTGACAAGATTTAATCCACGGCTATTCTGGTTGTAGTTTTCATAGCTTGGCAGAGATGCTTTTTTATAGGCCATTAATAAAACTATTGATAATGTGTGGTGAAAGAGCGTATCTCTGGCGTTGTGGTCTGTCATATTTACTCAGTACATTGCTGTCCTGCGCCCACGAACAGTCTAGTTGCGGACACATTTATCATTCGTCTCTATCTCTCACCATCAGCTGCTGCTACTGTAGTTGATGTACACTGCGAGCATCTTTTAGGTTCTCTTCCAGAGTGCGGACTTTGTTGGACTCAATTCTACTGGTCTCTTCAATCCGTCATTGACCTTTAGTACAATTGGTTCGGGTCGACTTGCTCTCGTTATAGATCTGCGAACTTAAAGGTGAAGTATTTGTCGAAGTTATCAACAGTGTTATCTGGCTTGATGTTACTGATTTCCATCATCTGCGTGTTCTTCTCTGATGTCTTCATATTGCTTTCCAGCTTTACTGAACAGTCTGAGTATGACTGAGATGTGGTCTCCGTAATCGAAATACTATTTCCTTCTCCTTGATAAGCTGGAGGAGGTTCACAGAATATTCCAACGAATGTGGAACACGAAGGGAACCTCATGTAAGCTTAACAATTTAAGTACATATTATTTATTTTGCTACCGAGGTTAAACGGCGGTCGGTTTAGAAATCGTTTTACTGTTTTTTTTCTGTTCTCCACTGCGCAATGAGTTTATCATGATATGGTTCTTTTCGATTTGTTCAGGGTTATGTTCCGCGCTTCGTTAAGCTTTTTAAATCTTTTTACTTTATGGTAATGTACCGTAGCGGTATCGTCCACGAAGAGAACGTTTGATTAGGACCTCATTTAGGGAAAGGGGCCTTTTTTATACAGTTGAGTACCTTCATTAGAAACGAAGTTCATTTCGCTAGATGGTGTTGCCATGCAGGACCTCTTTTCTGTTAGAGTACTAAGAGAGGCGAAAGAGTTGTTCAGATTCTGATAAAACAGCTTCGTTTCGTCACACTCGTATGCTTTTTTCTACTTGATTGAGGTTAGTTTGAACTATAAGCCTTTCTCGCTATAAGCTTTTATGACCTCGTATGGGGTTAGGATGTGATCCACACAACAATATCCCCGTGCGAATCCTTCCTGTTCAGTTGATAGTCTTACCTGAGGTTTTCTCATGTGCACGGTAAGATTATTCTCTGGCTAATTACATCATACCTAGTCGTGGTTTATTTAAATAGAATATGACTACGTTGATATGCTCCCTCTTTTGTTTATATATTTATTTTCTCTTGTCACGTTGTGAGATATTAGCGCTCTATCTCCTTTTTTGTCCTTGCTTCTTGATTTTCATGGGCTTCGATGACGTACTTCAATTGACAGAAGTCATACCGATCTATGCTTCCTCGTATTTATTGATACCTCAGTTTTTGTAAAGATTTTTTCCAGATGTATCGGTGATATGAAGTCGTCCAAAGCGTCTCCTGTCGTTTACATTGCTGTCGGCATTGTGATAGGTCTCTCCCTTTCTCTCCTTTCTTCTACAGAGAGATATGGATTCGTGAAGGTAAGTGTGGTTCTCACCACTGTTTTTTCACAAGGGGAGCCGTAAGGAACGTAGGAAGGGTTTTCGTGGATAGTCGATCTGAGTATAGAAGACAGGATTGAAAAACTAGCCTAAAGTAAAATTAGTTAGAAATTTGATTTCACTTTTCTCCCTCTAGCTTCAAAGATGTCGATTTCGAATGTTTACTACTTAGAATAACTGTTTAATTTACGAAAATATTAGCCAGTTTTTAAGTGTAGGCTTCCAAGTGCACCTCCCAACGAGCCTACCGCCTCTTCGTGGCGGGGAGGTGTTCCTGGGTGTCGGGTTGCGATATACGGCAGGGGATCATTCCCTGGTAGTGTCTCCCAAGCTGGGAAGAAATCTGACGTTCCCGCCAGGACGCCTAACTAAGAGGAAACCAATACTAGGATTCACCACCGTCCTAATATCAAAGTGGTCGAATGGTGGCAAATCTCTCTGTGATCCACAAGTTTGCGACTGCCTATCGTGGTGACGACCTGGGGCAGACTTTGGCCAGGCTGTCCTCGGGATTCAATAAAGCCACAATGGCTAAATCAGCAAAACTGAAAATTAGAGGATATGCTGGCGACCGCACAACCAGTGAGGACAGGCCGTCCAAGTATCCAAGTAAGGAAGTAAGACTTCCAAGTGGCATCGTTCCGTTAGATGCAAAAAGTAATAAGGGCGCATGTTGATGTAGGGCGTTAATACGTTTTATTGGAAAAGCTTTGCATGGTTATCGACTTAGTCGTAATTAAGTACAATTTCTTTTTCTCTCAGTTCTCAAGTTCGAGCGGAATGTTGCCAGTGCGACCCCACCGACATGGTTATCAGGATGCTCACGACGAAAATGAAGTTTTTGACGAGGACGCCCCCGAAGAGGCTATTGAGTTCCATGGCAATAGCTCCATTCATCACCATGGAAGTAAAGCCATCATCCTTTGTCTGATTTCTCTTTTGCTATGAAAATTTCGTCGATCTCTTCAAGTCGGAACTCATGGGCAATTTAACAATCTCATGTGCAGAGATCCTTATAATGAAATGCTTTGAAATGTCATAGAATTTTACAGCACTCAAATTTATCGAGTTTTGAAGGTGACCGTGAAGTTGCCGACATGATTGCCGAGAAAGTACGGGTCTTTTGTTGGATTCTCACCGGTAAGGAGAACCATCAAAAACGAGCGATTCACGTAAAGGCAACATGGGTTAAACGATGCAACAAGTGAGAAAGCTTTGATCAGTTTACTGCACGAGGTTTACTCATTCTTTATAAGTGAGGGACTCTCTTGAGTTAGCGCCATACCTTGTTTTCAGTAGTCTTCTGTAAAAATGTAAAATTGAATTACAGATATCTCTTCATGTCATCAGAAGATGATTCTGAACTGCCAGCTATTAATCTAAACGTGTCTGAAGGACGTGATCATCTTTGGGCGAAAACAAAAGCAGCGTTCAGATACATTTACGACCACTATTTGGTAGCTTTTCTGCAACTTGTTGTGAGCATTGTTCTTTTACTCAGTGAAATTCTATAGTAAAGGCTTTTCAGAACGATTATGACTGGTTCTTAAAAGCCGACGACGACACCTACGTTGTGGTGGAAAATTTGAGGTCGGACAGGGATTCGTCACTCTCTTAAAAGCTCTTGTTTTCAAACTTGGAATTGTATGGTTTAGTTTAGGTACATGCTTCTGGCACATTCACCTGATCAACCTGTTCATTTCGGCTGCAAATTCAAGCCTTTTACTAAGAAAGGTTATAATAGTGGTGGAGCGGGGTACGTGCTTAGCCGAGAGGCATTGAAGAAGTAAGTGCTTTTAATATGTATTTGTTTCTGTGTCTTTGGTTTATAATCGATATTATTACTACACCACTCACTTTTGTATTGGTCTAAATGAGCAAGTGAAGCTATCGATGACAATTTTATTCCTAAGGTTCATCAACGAAGGGTTGACGGACCCGAAAAAATGTTCTCCTAATCACGGTGGCGCCGAAGACGTTGAAATAGGGAAGTGTTTGGAGAAAATCGGAGTGGTGGCGGGAGATTCACGTGATAGTGAGACCCATCATAGGTATACATTCAGCATGAACATTTGATAAATAAGTAGGTTTTTTGCTTCTATTGGTAGAGCTAGAAGTAAGTTCAAACTATTGTGCTAGGAATTTTTCTTTATAAACTAATTTATTTCTTACTTAAACTTCACGAAATGGGCGTAACTTCGGCCACGGATATTTTTTAACTTTTTTCAAAGAATATATTCACATATGTTATACCTTTTTATTTTCTGCCTACTATAATTTCGCGGCAGGGTACTAAGCGAAATACAATTGTGATTGTATTTTATAACATTGTGATTTCAATTACAGCCGCAGCTTAACTGGGTTCTATGCCAATTTGGGCGCCCCAGATCAATCCCGCTAACGGGTGATTGCTGTGGCAAAGATCGATAGAAATAGCTGAGAGACATGAGAAAAGAAGGATCCGCACGGTGTGGTGGTGGACGCGTTAGCTCTCGGAAAGGCTAATAGCGCGTTCGTTCCCCACCATAGACACCTGCGGTCCAGAGTTTTGCAAATATCTCAGCAACGTTGTGGTTGTATATTCGCATATTTAATATTGACTGAATCCATGATGTTTAACTGCGCTTAAGTAATTCATTGACACCATTCATTTTGAGCTGTTGTACTTTTCTATGCGTTTTTTCTTACGTAGTAATTCGGATATTCTTTTTCAGGTTTTTCCCATTCGTTCCTGAGCATCATTTAGTACCTGGTCATGTGGATAAATCGTTTTGGTTTTGGCAGTACATTTATTACCCAATGGAGCAGGGTCCGAACTGTTGTTCAGGTGAGCGTTGCGGTAGTGCCTTTGTTCCGGTTTGAATGGAATTGCGGTTGCGCTTTCGAAATAAATTAACTGAACTTGCACGACGTCAATCAACAGTTGAACAGTTTTTCTGTCTTTGTTTGAATTTCTTTACCGCTATTCTTTTAGATTATGCCATATCATTCCATTATGTCAACTCGAATCTTATGTACGTGCTTGAATACTTGGTTTATCATCTTAAACCATTCGGTGTTGATCGCTCTCTGAGGTTTGCTAACGCGTGTTCTTGGATTTACATTTCTTTTCCCTAAAATAATCGAATAAGTTTTGTAGGGCTTTGTTGAGGTTTCCCTACTAGGCTCGTTCTAGGGTTGGATGGAATGAGACCAAGTTAGAAGCTGCGTATGCCTCAGCTCGCCTAGCAATGGGTCCGGACGATGTGTATCGAGACGCGAAAATACAGCTCTGAAAATGCAACATTTTCAATATTTTTGCACCGAGACCTGAATTTTTTGGAAAGCGAAATGCATAACTAAGATGATGCTGACATATTTGCAAAACTCCGGAGAGCAGGTGTCTGCGGCCCGGAGTTTCTCAAATATCTCAGCGTCATCTTAGTTTTATTTCACATGATACCCTGTCGTTAAAAATTAAAGTAGACAGTAAATAAAAAGGCTAAGATAGCGCAATGTACGTTTGCCTATGGCATTAACCGAATCTCGTTGTTCGAATTTGTTTGAAAATTGTCGAGTAATGATGTCAGTTTTCCATTCTTTGGAGAAGAGTCGCCTTTGTGTGTTTACGTCCATGACATTTAGTTTAAGGAGTTGTTCTTGTTGCTTCGTTGTTGTCATGTTGTCATCGATATCACCTTGTGAACAAGTGCCACTAAATTGCTTTCAATAAGGAAAGCTATTTCCGTTATTGCGCTATAGAGGTTGGATATGTCACTTGTATCTATTCACTAGTGCAACTCTTTACAGTTAGTTTTGTTGGTTATGTTCGGAACTTTTGTTTATCCATATTGAAGGCTTAAATTGCCCACTTATGATACGTGTCTCTTCTGTCTAGTCTTGTATTGTCTTTTGAGAAACACTTCAGAAGTGTTTATTTTATTTAATTCCAGTTATAAAGTGTTACGATGTCACAAAGTTAAATATTTGGTAGGAGAGGATATTTATACCTCTGCAACAGTGGTGAATTATTGGTTAGTGACTATGGGGTCTCCCCGCAGTATTTCTATGCCGGTTAGTTGCAAGGTAATATGGGCGCGTTCCCAGGTGGCGTATAGGAGATAAATGGTGGACCAAAAGCGGCAGGAGTCGATCTACTTCTCTGAGGAGTAGCAGGATCCAAGTGATGCACTCCCAGTTTGTGCTACGCCGGTTTGATACATAACTTGCGTATTTACGAAAATGTATTCATGGGTGCGTGCGTGCTTTGGTTACGCGCTTATGCGGACTGTATTTCACCAGTTAATTCGGCCAAAGGTCGCAATCAGGTGACAGGGAAAGTATATGGGAGGTGGTTAGGAGTCGCCTCCAACAATTAAATTCCTCGTTTACCCTGTGAGAGACTGACAGGCTATCCGGGAGTATATTCAATGCTCACGTGCAGAACTCAACAAGCTATACGTGAGTGTTGAAAACTAAGCACTAAGTGCTAATGATTCTTGATTAAACTCTAAGGAGACCTCATCGAAGCCCCGTATTTTTCTTTTTTTGTGTGGTGTTGACGATTGTCCTCGTCGATTCCAATATTGTTGTGAACTTGGAAAATTTTAAAAAAAAGAACACTAAACATAAATAGCTAGTCCGTTAAGGGATTTTGAAACTTAGTCGGATATCCGTTCTTCAGTTGGTTAGTTGCAAGGTAATATGGGCGCGTTCCCATTTCCCAGGTGGCGTATAGGAGATAAATGGTGGTTGGTGTTTTGTTGATCGAAGTGGTCTTCTTTCCTGGAGTCCCATGATATCCTTACCAGGGTGTAACTTTCTCTTCGAGTCACTGAATTTCGTGTATCAATGTGTGGTTTTCTGCCTTACATACTTTTCCTCAATGGCAGCAGTAATTTTCGGCATAGTTTTCCTCTTTAGGCTTTCTAATGGTGATGTCAAGCTTACCAGCTTGAATGGGCGATAGAATTCCCGTAGTTCTACACCAGCGAACACAATTGCCATGGTTAGGCAGTAAATTGTTGAGCACTGCGACTTCATTAGTTTTATTATTTTTGTAACTAACACTCGAAAAAAAAGAATAAACTGAAAGCTACTGTAAGTAATACTACAGGGTACTCAGTCATCCATTAAACCGCTGTGGAAAAGTCCTCTTAGAATCCTGAGTTCCGACGTATGAAAAGTGCCAGTCCGAGAAAAGCCCAGTGATTCCTGCTTAACTGTAGAGTCGAAAGAGTGGGCATTACCGATGATTTTATGATTATTAGTAAATAGGGGACATCATCGAGGGTACGAAATGTTCATTTCTTTAGTAGAAAAGAATTCGGCACTTCTCTTCGAAATTCTATGATGTTCTTATTGTCATCTAACTAATATAGAATGCATTAAATGGCAGCTTCATCTTTTAGCAATTGGTTGTTTTTCCCAATTCTACATTCAGAATGCAGGATCTTGGCTGCTACACTGTTCTAGATCGTCGATTATTTTTCCCATTCCTGCTTTCAGTTCCGATCTCGGTTTTGACGTCGTCTCCGAAGCAACTAGTAGGAGACCACATCGTGGTGAAGAGCTGGATACGCCCGCTCTTGTAAGGTTAAATCAGGACTCCAGAGAGGATCAAACTGCTCAACCAGCACTAGGTCAGCCTCATTACCCCGCACACTGGGTGATCCCGTCTATGACGTCATGCAGTGAGAGGACCGGTGAAAGGTCACAGAATCTCGGGTTACGCAGGGTGTGACTGGAATCGGATCTGACGAACACACGCACGACACGCCATGGAAATTGTTTCTTACTCTGCACGCATAATGCTAGAACACCCTCCACAGACGCCGGTCTTCACGCTCTTCTTGAAGCAGCAAATCGCATAAAATTTCATGTTATTGCACTACAAGAATCAGAAATCAGGATGAGCGACATATGTCAACTAAATAACGGGGTCTTTGTCATCTACGGAGAAAAAGTCCCGTTACGAAATGTCGACGGCGTGTAGGCTTTGTCGTCCTGCCGTCCACTGTCGACCTCGTCGAATCGTGCGAGATCTACAATGTTCCGTTGTCAGCCATGATGAACGAACATGACATCATCAAAAGTTTCCACTATGATATGGAACCAATAACGGAAACGTTCCGCATCAACCTTTCCCGTTCCACAATCACCGTCCCATACCCTAAAATCCCGCTGGAGAAAAGCCACCTGGAATTCTTTCGTCGGAGGTTCGAATTGCGATAGAAAGCATGAAAAAAGACGCAGCGCCAGGACGTGATGATATCACTGCCTACCTCCTTAGAGCTGGAAACCACAATTTACATCTACTTCTTACAAACCATATGGCAGGCTACCTTCAAAAGAGAAAAAAATCCCAGACCAGTGGAGGGTGTCGGGCACGATCATCCTGTTCGAGAAAGATGACCGAAGAGATCTTCGTAACTACCGCCTGATATACTTGTCGAGTGTAATCTACAAATTCTTCGCAAAGATTATCCCCTCGCACATATCATGGACATTGGATGTGAGCAACCAGTAGAGCAAGGAGGATTTCGACAAGGATTTTGCTGCGTGGACCACATCTAAACTGTTTCCTGAGTCATTTAAGTTTGTCAGGAACACCACTTACCTCTAGTACTAACTTTTGTCGGCTATGAAAAAGCGTTTGACAGTGTCGAAAACGAATGCAATCCTATCAGCGCGACCGAATGGACCCGTCCTACATAAGAGCTCTATCTGACTGTTATCGGAGCTGCACTACGAAAATATAGCTTTTCCACCAATCCCTCCTCACCATACCCATAGGGAAAGGAGTTCGACGGCGCGACACAATATCGCCAAGGCTGTTTAATGCCGCACTGCAGTGGATAATGAAGTTATTCGATTGGGATGAGAAAGGCGTACATATTGATGAAAAATCCCTATCAAACTTTCGTTTTATCGGCGACATCGCCATGTTCTCAAGAAGTACGAGCGAAGGAGGGAAGATGATCAGTGAGCTCAACGAAGCGGGAAAGTGGTCGGACTACGCATAAATCGGAAGAAGACCTATTTCATGAAAGAACAATGGTGCGAAGGCGAACAAATTGAACTGGATGGCAATCTGATTGCAGTAGGTACCTTGTATGTATATTTTGGGCGATAAGAAGACGGAGAGCAGCTTAGGTCGCATTTGGGCCTCTCAAGGAGCCACCGAACAACACACCTTTTCGATTCAACGGTCCTCCCAGCGCTCTGTCACGCTGCTAAGACGTGGGCTGATACTTCAACCACGTCAAGAATACTCTGCGCTAGTCACAGAGAGCGTGAATGATGTCTTTTGAAATATAGCCAGCACTCTCAATATCTAGCCGGAATGCAAAGCTCTGATCTTCGAAATCTGTCGCATCTTCGAGGTCCAGAAAAATACACATAGACAGCGAAACACAGATGGGCCGATCACGTAATGAGAAGAACGGACGACAGATGGACGAAAAAAAACTGCACAGTGGACTCCAAGAGAATGCAGGGGTCCTATATACGGCAACCTACACGTTGGAAGGGCGTGTTCGTAATCAAACTTAGTCGGCTGTAGTCGCAGCTGGAGATATTTTGCAAATCACGGTATGGCACTCACACGCAGCACCATGTTCGAATAAAGCCACCACAGTGGACGGCGGTTGTAAGGGAAAGAAACGAAAGGCAAACGTGCTGGCGTCCACACAACTCATGGAGAAGGGCTGTCCAAGTATCCAAGTAAATAAGTATTAAATGGCGGCAAAAATGTGATATATAGGAAATAAATATATGAAGTGATGTCATGCGTTGGAGTTTCTTCGTTTTAGAAGCAATACGTATCGAATATTTCCCACGCTTTACCTTATTTAATCAAACTGTGCTGCAATCAGTCATACTGTGTTTAGCATTTTTTGTTATCCACATATAGCTCGCTGAGCTTTGAGCGTGGGGCTGAGTATACCCACGGGTAGCTTGGCAGTCTCTCCTATAGTGGACATGGAGCTTATTTGTTGGAGGCGACTCCTAACCCCCTCCCATATACTTCCCAGTTATTGATTGCAGGTTTTTGGCCGAATTGACTCGTAGAATAGAATCACCATAAGCGAGAACGCACCCAAACGCGCAAGCATGAATCCGCCTAGCAAATACAAAAAGTATGTACCAAATCAGCGCAGCAGAAACAGGGAGTCCATCCCCTGGATCCACCTGCGTCTCAGGGAAACAAAGGTCGCTTTTGGTCCGCGATCAAGCCCCTTATTCGCCACCTGCGGACGCGTCACGTAGCCTCGCGACTAACCGGCTCGAGATC